TTGTAACCCTATTTTAACTCGTTTGTTTTTTGGGTTTAAAAGTGATGTTGAATGAGGTGTCTCAAGTTAGCAAGAGGCCAGGGAACCAGAATGAACACTCGGAAAGGGCCGTTTCCGGCCATCTGGGGGGTTTGTAAAACCAAAAATTTTCTTGTACGCTCCGCGCCAACCCATGATGGCGCTCCGATCAGATAGTCGTGCCTACAACTTTGAAAATCCTGGCTACGCCCCTGGTTACTGTTAATGTTATACTGACAGTATTATTTAACACAGACATTATTACATTATATAGACATAGCATCATTATTATGACAGTAAATTATTACTGTTAGTATTATGCTAGATACAAATTACAATAATGTAACCTGACAAGAGTAGGGTTACAACTAGCTCTAGTACTATAGCCCGCGTACATTGACTGCCGCAGGGCTATAGCACATTGTCGGCTGGAAATACCAACTACGACCTGTTACCACCTGTCCCCATGAAAAATGGATCGCAAAACGCAAAGTTATCGGGCTTTTTAACACTTATTTATCTACATGGACATCTCACCTATCTTTTTGAACACTTTACACAACTTTACACCATGTATTTATCCTTTTATTCCACAAAGTAAGCACTACTGGCATTTCATTTTGAAACGAAGTGGCGTGCGCACGCATGACGTTACCGGATATGTACGCAAAACACATGGCAGCTATGGGGCATGTATATACAATACCGGTGACGTCACGCGTGCGCACGCCATATCATTTGAAAATGAATTGCCAGTAGTGCTTACTTTGTGGAATAAAAGGATAAATACAGGGTGTAAAGTGTTCAAAAAGATAGGTGAGATAAGTGTTAAAAAGCCCGTTCATCATTTTGCGTTTTGTAAAGCGATTTTTTGTGGGAACTTTGGGAACCGGTGTTGATGCTATTTCCAGCTGACAATGTGCTATAGCCCTGCGACAGTCAATGTACGCAGGCTATAGTACCTACTAGAGCTAATGCATTAATAGCCATTATACTTTTACAGTACCTATGACGTAGATACCATGATATCTTCAGCTTGTACTTAGCAGTAAATTCATCATTCGCTGGACTATACATTTTACACCATAATCCAAGCTTACTAGTAGTAGTACTAGTACTACTATTCAGAGAATTTCAGTGACACTGACAGTCACAGTCACAGTGTCTTCGGAATTTTTAGTACTAGTACTGTAGTAGTAGTACTACTACTACTACTACTACTAGTAGTGCTCAATGGGTCGTTGTCGTAACAGGTACTACAGATATGTACCCGAGGTACATATATGTATACACAAAGTGTACCAGACTTGTACTACAGAAGTGTACCCTAACCCTAACACTAACCCTAACCCTAACCCTAACCCTAACTCTAACCCTAACTCTAACCCTAAACATACCTCATATAAAACTATAAACATAATACTAAACAACCTAAAACTGCCTCGGGTACATATCTGTAGTACCTGTTACGACAACGACCCTTCGTGCACTAGTAGTAGTAGCACTCATACTCATAGTCATAGACTCATACCTTCTTGCGTAGGATCGTAATCGTCATCATAGGCTTCCTCTAGTATAACAGGAATAGACTTCCCTTGCGTAAACTGTGCCATTATAAGAGATATTACAGTTTGTTATAAACCATGTTACTAGAAAGCATGAAAAATTCATTATTAGTACATTCTTCGATTTGAGTTTACGCCATTTTGAAAACAAGCTGTCGCTTCCGCACACGCAATTTAACGGATATTTTGTACACGCAATATTTTGTACGTAATTACTTATTTATTTTATTCACTTATTTTTATAACTAAATCACACGTATAAAATAAAATTAATCAGTGCAAATTATTGTTGATTTTTCAATTATTTAATAACTATGTAAAATATTATTTATTGACAACACAGGAGCGCCCCGACAAAGAATTTGGCGACACTGGAGCTTCTAAAACGAATACATAATACTTTGATATTGGGTTTAGGTCTGTATTACAACGTGTTATATATCTTAAAGGCGCGAGAGCACAAGTTGTGTGTGATGTCTACCTTATACATGTAAACATGGATTAGTTATTACTATATTGATTGGGTCACTGGGTGGACCTGTGACTGTGAGTGTGATTCATGTTGTTTTCCTCGCCTAGTTCAGTAGTTGATTGTTGACAAGTCAATGTTGTGTCAGGCTGTTCCCAACATGACCGGTTAACTTCAAGCATTACTTAGAGTACAACATTCCAATCATCTTGGGTTACTTTGTTGTATAACAGACTAACAGTATATATGTAAACAGCATCAGCTAGATACAAATGAGCTCTAGAGCCCTGCACTACGCCTGGCATTGGCAACACCTACTACAAGCCCGCACGTACAGCACACATGCGGTCATTGACTATTATAACAACATAGTGCCTAAGTCGCCGCCGCAGTTTCCACAACTCACCGTTTTCAATCAGTTACAACTCCGGTGTTCCTGCAGGTGACGCCACTTTCCAACTATCGTTGGAATCGCGGAAGACTGCTGAACAAGCTACACCTGCCATTTTTGACAATCGGCCCGCCAGAATGCGCTCAAATCACAGAAATTCCTCAAATATACATGCGAAATGATCCTTCGGATGCTACCAGGCAAACGGGCGGCATGCTCAATCGCTGGTGGCTGCGCTGATTGGCTGCAGCAAGTTTAACGTGGAGACAGGCTGCACAACTACGTTTGTTGACATCGTGGGTGAGTCATGGCCAATCAGCGCAGCCGCCAGCGATTGGGCATGCCGCCCGTTTGCCTGGTAGCATCCGAAGGATCATTTCGCATGTATATTTGAGGAATTTCTGTGATTTGAGCGCATTCTGGCGGGCCCATTGTCAAAAATGGTGGGTGTAGCTTGTTCAGCAGTCTTCCGCGATTCCAACGATAGTTGGAAAGTGGCGTCATCTGCAGGAACACAGGAGTTGTAACTGTTTGAAAACGGTGAGTTGGGAAAACTGCGGCGGCGAGTTAGGCACCATCACAGGCACTTGAAGCGTTTCAACTGTAAACACACGCCGCCGCCATTGCGCGCACACTGACACATAAATATATAGCAGGTGAGAAAGCGCGATCCCAAAAATTCGCTCGACACTCGCTGCATTTCTCACGATTTCAACACAAATACACATCCAACAGCTTCCATCTTTGTTTCTCCTTCAAGAACAGTGTTCACTTGTTATAAAAACATAATGTCTCTGTTCGTAACCGAGCTGTGTCACGCGAAATCGCACAAAGACTGACGAAATTCTCGCGTTCGATAGCACTGCGCACCGGATGGTAACGAACTTTCGCCCATGGTTAAAGGCGGCGAAAGTTCGTTAACATCGGGTGCGCAGTCGCGCTTTCTCACCTGCTATATATTTATGTGTCAGTGTGCGCGCAATGGCGGCGGCGTGTGTTTACAGTTGAAACGCTTCAAGTGCCTGTGGGCACCATGTTGTTATAATAGTCAATGGCCACGTGTGTGCTGTACGTGCAGGCTTGTTCTTGCTGCCAGTGAGGCTACACTGTTACTGTTAGGATACCTATTTGTATATAATTATCAACAATTACAACAGTTAATATGCCCTATACTAAGTATTATAATATTTTATATAGGACCTCGGGGTCGAGTAAACATTAATTAATATTAACAAAAACGTACAGTTGTACTCGGTATTAATAGTATTAAGCAACTAATGCATTCCAGAAAAATATCATAATGTGAAATTCGCATGGGTACACACGTTTTCCCAATAAATTCCATTACCTGTATATAATGGGAGATTTGTTCCTATGGAAAAAATTTTGGCCAAAAGAAGTTATAGAAGTGCAATTTTTAATGCACATGTAAGCAATTGAAAATAGATGTATTTATTATTTAATGATATATAAATGTAAGGTGACATTACTGGGAGAGAAAGGGAGCTCGAAATCAGAAGGGAGAAGGCAAGTGAGATGCACTATTACCAGTTGATTGTGAGACCAAAAATGTTATCTATGTAGTTGATTTAAATGTTTATGGCAGACCTATTTAGAACTGAATAGGAGAGCTTATTATAAACTACTCTTGATATTTTGAGGTTATGATCAGGATTGGGTCATTAGCAGAATATCCCAAATTCGTCAGAGCTGTCAGACCAAAAACAGTTTCTAGGGGCAGAACTGGTAGACTTTATAGTGACCATAGTGAGCCACACCCTCACACACCAGGGTGAAAGCCAGGAAAAAAATCAGGAAGTCTCAACATCTGAGCGAAGCGAGGATTCTGCAGGTGCGAAGCGCCCTAGGGGGAGAGTTTGGGAGGGGTTTTCCCCTTCCTATGGTGTGAAAATTTTTAAAACCTTACCTTAACATGGAGGAAATTTAGTCTGAAATGCCAAAAAGAATGCCAGGAATCTGATAATATATGATTTTATATTCTTATAAGCACTGTTGTCACTTATACAAGGTGTCATTAATGCATCTACTCATCATAATGATGTGTCACTGACAACAGTTATGGATTCATCTCCCCCAATTTTTCTGCTGAAAAGATTTATGTTATGAAATGGAGAAGATGTCAAGTTTTCCTAATTTTAGACGGTATTTTAGAGCTTTGATGCTATTCAAATACTGTAATACTGTTGTCAAACACATTTACATGCTGAGTGTTCAAGTAGAAATGTAAAAATAACTACAAGGCCTAATATTGTAAATAAATCTTTTATTATTGTATAAATAAAATATTGTAACTAAAAACTAAAGACTAATCACTAGTCATGAGACAAACAGTTAAATTCTTCTAGGCAAATAATTCAACAGCATGGGCAAAATAAAATTGTTCTGGGGCGATTTTATATTCATGCAGGGGTAAAATTGGGTCGCCCTCATGCCGTCTCAATCAAATTTCAACCGGCTCATACAGGAATAGGCTATCCAAAAGACGGGTAGACGGGTCTCTGGCTAGCACACTGTCACACACCTGAATTGTTGGCAGCTGGCTGTATATGTATTGTATCAAGAGCATATAAAGAAGGAGAGCGTACAACGGTAAAATGCTGAAACCATGTTGCAGTATTAGTCGAATTAATAAACTTTCCCCAGTATTATTGATCAGCTGTCCTACCTTGTTCATATAAAACAAACCGCATGTCCCTACGATGCCCATACGCTGAGATAATGAGCAGTGAAAATCTGGTATTCTCGCCGAAAACTGACTCGAGATCAGTCAGTTACTGTGACTGTCTCTCGAAGTGTTATAACTTCGGTAAACCTCGCGTGTTTTCGTCAATGATTGACAAATGGAATGAATGACGTCTGTTATTGATTGCCATAGTGATGACCCCCACCTGTGCCTACCTCACGCCCACCTCACGCTGGATGTATAGTAAACTCTGGTAGTATGACGTGAGTCAGCGCCACTATGGTGCTACACAGCGGCGACCGGAAGCAACACACTGGCCACACTTCGAGAGAGGGTCGCAGTATTGACTAATGTCTAGTCGGTTTTCAGCGAAAATACCAGATTTTCACCGCTCATTATCTCAGCGTATGTGCATCGTAGGGACATGCGGTTTGTTTTATATGAACAAGGTAGGACAGCTGATCACTAATACTGCAAAGAATCGTCAAAATAACACGGGGAAAGTTTATTAATTCGACTAATACTGCAACATGGTTTCAGCATTTTACCGTTGTACGCTCTCCTTCTTTATATGCTCTTGATTGTATTAATTGTATTGATGGCTCTTAGGCATGCCACTTTTGGATAGATAAACCCACTCATTCGTTTGAAAATCTTTTCCTATCATACCTTATATTCAGGTAATGTTATGGACATCTCTTGTGCATACTTGTTATTGTACTCGGAATTGAGGAACATGTTAGTTTGATCAATTCAACAATCATGGGAAGTGAGTCAGTGTAAAATTAAATAATAATTCCCTCCTTGCTCGGTTCTGTATCGATGTGAAGTATAAGCAAGGCTTGCAATCCATTTATTGAAATATATGTCATAATGTGCAGTAGCTAACATAGAAAGTATTATATAAATTACTGATCCTGTGAAATGGTATGAAAATGTATCCCTTCTAAAACAAGTCAAAGAAATGGGATATTTTCACACAATCTAATCACTAAACCATTGTTACAGGTCTACGTACAAATATTAGATCTGCTGATTTGGATAACAAGATGGATACAAAGATGGCAGAACAGACGTGGGAGATGGCTAACAGTATCGAAACTGTGAATAGTGTGGATGACATCTACAAGTATGACGGTAAGCAGCAGCAAGATATACTGGCCGCAAAGCCATGGGAGAAAGATCCCCACTATTACAAGGAAATCAAGATATCTGCATTGGCCTTGTTGAAGATGGTGATGCATGCAAGGTCAGGTGGCACAATCGAGATCATGGGGCTGCTGCTGGGCAAGGTCGATGGCTACACAATGATTGTAATGGACTGCTTTGCATTGCCGGTAGAAGGCACTGAAACGCGGGTGAATGCTCAGGCGGCTGCGTACGAGTACATGACGGCCTACACAGAAAGCGCCAAGCAGGTAGGTCGGCTGGAGAATGCGATCGGTTGGTACCACTCGCATCCAGGCTACGGTTGTTGGCTGTCCGGCATTGACGTCAACACACAGATGGTCAACCAGCAGTTCCAAGAGCCATTCGTGGCCATCGTCATCGACCCTGTGCGCACCATCTCTGCAGGCAAAGTCAACCTGGGAGCCTTCCGCACCTATCCCAAAGGATACAAGCCGCCGGACGAGGGCCCCTCCGAGTATCAGACGATTCCGCTTAATAAGATCGAAGACTTTGGAGTGCACTGCAAGCAGTACTACTCGCTCGAGGTCTCCTACTTCAAGTCACAGCTGGACAAGAAGCTGCTCGAGCTGCTCTGGAATAAGTACTGGGTGACGACTCTCAGTTCCTCCAGCTTGCTGACAAACGCAGACTACACAACGGGACAGATATTCGATCTGGCCGATAAGCTGGAGCAAGCGGAAACGCAGCTAGGCCGCGGTGGCTTTGTGATGGGCATCGATTCACACGAGAAGAAGTCCGAGGACAAACTGTCCAAGGCGACAAAAGACAGTGGCAAGACAACGCTAGAGGCTATACACGGGCTTATGACTCAGGTGTTGAAGGATAGACTATTCAATCAGGTTAGCTGTAACCCCCCAGCTGTACAGACGTAGATAGCAGATCTGGCGATTGATTGCCGATGATAGTTTTCTGATGAACGTTAGTATCTGAAATCGCAGTGTGTAGAAGTACAGACTTTCAAGTGTCGCGGTGCAGTTGTGCTGGTTGGCCATATTTTCGTTGTGGAAATCCTTACTTTTGTTTACAAAGAATACATACATACTACTAGTAACTTCCATCATACATGTTAGTTGTATAGCTAGCATTTCTGTGGCTAGTGATTGCTTAAAATTTTACATCTTTTTGGGGTATTTTTTGTAAGCAATACATTTATATATTCTGTCGTATATATTATAATAGTTCGCTTGTTTTCAAATATCATTGGAAGATGGTGGTACAGTGCTTTAATTCCTGTTTAAAAATGGTTTTGATAGCCAGACTCAATTTTATGCACACAAGCCTTTGGTCATATTCTTCACACTGCGTTCCAAACAGAAAGGAACAAAATTGGAATATGTTTATTTCTGAAACATGAGAAATTTCAGTGCTCTGTACTAGATTACATATGATGCAGTACAGAGGAAGATTATTAAAGTATTCAATTTCAAAATTGCAGTGTTAGTGTCTACTTTTGTTATACATCACGTGAATACTTTTACTGATTTTTTTCTGGTTAAATGGTACCAACTACTGTAATTTCAATATTAGCAGAACCCTTTACCTATGATTGCAGAAGCAGGAACTTTTAAAGAAAAAACCCTACAGCTAGAGAGTTTATAATTTTTAGTAACGAATTGTTTATTCACTCTATAAGACAACGTAGACCATAGGGAACCTGGTTAAGTTAAACAGGGTCCCACAGCCCTTGAGAGTCCTTGAATTTTGTTTTTTGTCCTTGAAAGTCCTTAAATTTTCCTTTTGTCATTGAAAGTCCTTGGAAATAGGTCCAAGTTCTTACTTAATGTCCTGGAATTTTACATGTTTTACCAAAAATAAAAAGCAAATCTTCATTGCTCGTTATCTGACTGACCCTATTCCAAGTCTTCGATAAAAATTAAAAATGTTACATTTAATCCAAAATTCACATGTCATTGTCTACTAGTGTACTCTACCAAAGTAGTTTGTTTTGTCCTTAATTTTTACGTGCAGGTGGTGTAGGGGTCTAGACTACAAGTTCATAATTTTAATATTTATTTATTACTCGGTGTTCATATTTTGCTACACAATTGTGTCAATTTGTGTGTAGAAAATACACTGAGTAATAAATAAAAAATTATAATAGTCAGCATATAGTTACGATCCCTGGCCATGACACCCATGACTAAAAAGAGGGAAAACAAACTAGTTTGAGCAGATACTGTTCTGTGAATTTTGGATTAAATTTAATATTATTTGTTATTTGTTATTATTTGGGACAAGGATAATATGGCCCTTAATGGCTTCTTCCATGGATTTAAAGCTGAAGAAGATCTTTAATTTTACCAGCTCAGCAAGTAGGCTATTACTGCTATTAGCAAGAAATTTAGAGAAAGGATTGCTCTCATTGAAATAAGGTGTGAAACAACAATTTTACTTTATATATGAATCTAAGGTATATATGATGACTCTAAAATGCTAAAACTACTCTTCACAGATTGTCCTTGAAAAAGACATGTCCTTGAAATGTCCTTGAAGTCTTTGAAAAAATCATTCACACTTGTGGGAATCATGTACTGAGTACCTAGCAGTAATAATGTACCATATAGAATCAACCACGAAAAACCACGAAAAAACTACAATAATAACCTTTTCATTCAATATCTGGTATTCTACTTATTTCTATCTATCTAGGGCCTATATCTGATATGTCTATCTATTTATATGGTACTTAATTTAATCTATATCCTATCAGGTTATATTCTCTCGGGAATAAGTGATCCCCCTCTCCCAAATGGTATCGCCTACGACCTCGTTAGCACGGTGAATTTATTCAGGCAAATGACCGGTTTTCAGCCTCAACTTTTTCACCCCCCCCCCAAAGCACAAAATATGATTATGCGGCTATAATACGTGTTTTTACAGTCACACAAACAAACCTGCACACACATTAACGGACGCGCACACGCGGTTATGGTCGCACGCACCCGTGCGCGTGTATTATAGGCGTAAATTCACATTTTGTGCCTCGGGGGGTGAAAAAGTTTCGGCTGAAATACGGCCATTTGACTGGCAAACTTTTCACCGTGCGACTGATGCCGTGGACGATACTATCCGCGAGAGGGGCGTAAGGAAGTGAGCAAGGGAAAGAAACGGAAAAAGGCAAGCATATATATATATATAT